AATGTAGTCCTTTTTTCTTTCTCTTTTTTATTCTGTAATTGATGCTGTTATGCCCCAACTCTATGACATGACACACCCATCTACACTACCCCATCTGACTCATATATCTGTTCCCTGTCTGCACACGTACACCCATCTGACTTATGTGTCGGTCAGTGGAGCACAGTTTATCTCTGTATATTGACTGGTTTATAATCTGTTACTGTTCATCCGTATGTGCCTAATTTGACAAACATTGTTGTGGTGGTTAAAATTTAGGCAAGTACAGAAAGAACGGCAATGAAAAGAAAGAAAGTTGTTGTAGCAATGGTAATAAAACTCGAGGCAATCAAGAAACTAGGCAAAGAAAAGACAGCACAGAAAGTTGCTGATGACTCTGACATTGGACGGGTAAGGAGACTAGAAAAGGAAACAAATAAAGAAATGGTGTTAAAATTAAAATAAAACTATGAAAAAATGTGACTATGAAAAAGTGAATGAAGCTTCATATATTTAGTTTACACATCAAAAGCATGTCTATTTTAGGACCTATTTTATAGCAAAAGGAGAGACATTTCATAAAGATTTCAATGACGGGGACCCAGATTTTACAGCAAATGCCAGATGGCTTGATCAACGGAAGAAATTCTATGGTATTCGTCAGTTAAGTGTTTGTTTGTAAGGAAAAACCATTAGCGAATTTTGAAGAAATGAAGGCATTCAAGAAATATCTCATAAATTAATTGAAACTGGAAGTCTAATGGATGATCAGATATTTAACTTTATGATGTAGATATGTGATGAGTCAGACATTAATTACAAAATATTATCTAATAAAAGAACAGAACCAAACTTAGTCTTGCAACTATAACTGAAGAGGCACCCCCTGGCTATAAGTGTAATGAGGACAAGCTGACAATTTTAGCAAGCAGTAATGTTACGTAGCATATTCAGAAACTAAGTACCGTTTCATTCCAGCGCCGTCGCAGCACTGTGATAGGCGTCCCGTGCATGCTCACTAGCCTTTCTTGTTCACTGACATTCAATTGTCGCCATTTTGATTGCTCTATGTTGTGTTTTCAGTTTGCTGTGCACATTCAAAATGTTTAAGACAATTAGTTCTCCCGCTGACTGTGAGATTCGTGCCATGATTAAATTTTTGAACGCGACGAATGTTAAACTGGCCGAAATTTATCGTCAAGTTACAAAAGTTTACGGTGAATACGCGATAAGTGATGGAATGGTGAGAAAGTGGGTAAGAATATTTAATGCAGGTCGAACAAATGTCCACGCCGAGGCTCGGAGTGGTCGGCCTTCTGTTGTCACCGATGGTTTGGTAAGGAAAGTTGATGAAGCAATTCATGAGAACAGACGCTTCACAATGACAACTCTTTCAGAGGCATTTCCACAAATTTCACGTACTGTTTTGTTCGAAATTGTGTCTGACCGCTTGAATTATCACAAACTGTGTTCCCGATGGGTTCCAAAAATGCTCACTGATGCTCACAAAACAAAGCGACTTGGTAGTGCCCTGACATTTCTCACGTGGTACAGTGATGAGGAAGAAAATTTTTCAACCAAATAGTGACAGGTGATGAAACTTGGGTGCGTCATTTCACACCAGAATCGAAACAACAATTGATGGAGTGGAGACACACTCATTCTCCGAAGAAACAAAAGTTCAAAGTGACAATGTCATCACAAAAAATCATGTGCACTGTCTTCTGGGATAGGAAAGGCGTTTTGCTTACTGAATTTCTTCCCAGAGATGAAACCATTAATGCGGCACGATATTGTGAGACTTTAACAAAACTAAGGCGTGCCATTCAAAACAAACGAAGAGGAATGCTCAGTAAAGGAATCGTGTTGCTCCATGACAATGCTCGTCCCCATTTTGCTGGTGTCACTCAATCATTAATTTGACAGTTTCATTGGGAGCAGTTCGATTACCCGCCGTACAGCCCGGACTTGGCGCCGTCCGACTATCACTTGTTCCTGCACATGAAGCGCGAGTTGGTGGCAAGCACTTTGGATCTGACGATGACATGAAAAATGCTGTGGAGTCGTGGTTATCGAAACTGGCGGGAAGTTTCTTTGACTACGGTATACAAAAACTGGTCACCCGCTATGACAAGTGTTTGATCATTAGCGGAAACCATGTTGAAAAATAGTTTAAGACATATATTTTCATGTAAAAATAAAATTGGATTCAAAAAAATTGTTTTACTATTTTTTTTTTTTCAAAACGGTACTTAGTTTCCAAATATGCCTTGTATATATCAGACTTTAAAATGGACCTTGTAATGATTGGAAAGTCCCAAAATCCTAGAATACTAGCGTAAGTTTCAAAAAATCCTCTTCATGTAAATAAAGTCTACAGTAAGAAAAATGCACGGATAAGCAGTGAAATTTTCAAAGACTGGTTCTTTAAGGAATTCAATCCTTCAACAAAGAAGTGTTTTAAAGAAAATAATTTACCCAGAAAAGCTTTTTGAAACCAAATCATGCTCCAATGCACCCTGATGCAAAACTTCAAGATGGTGACATTAAGGTAATGCTTCTGGCCCCTCCCAAATGTAACTGCTATATGGTAACCTATGAATCAGAATATTTTGGAAACAATAAAAAGGAACTATTGCAAGAAGAGAGAGAGAAAAAACTGAAAAGGGGCGAAACACGACTGAAAAATTAAAATGCATCAATGTTATTGGAAATTTGGATTCCCCTTTATATCTGTGCAGTCCTGAAAATGATAAGAAAGGCAAAACTATATAATCATCCGCAAAAGCCACAACTATGCATGATCCTGATGTGGCTATATGTGTGGTTGTCATCCTGGATATGATCACGGCTGTGGTTCTCTCCATTGCAATGTATCATATACTGACATCAATGACAGGAGGGGCATAATAGGAGTCTTTTATAGCATGAGATTCCAGTCCAGGCTTTATCTACTACGAAGTAACATCAACTTGCACTCAAACATCTGTGACAGATATAATGCCTAGTAGATCCAAACAATATGAGACAGAAATTATCACTGTCAAGTTATCACTTGTTCTTCTCATCTTGCTTCAGTCATATGTCAGAGGTTGACGTATGATGTTCATCTATCCTATTCAGTCTACGGAAAGGACCAATTAAAACCTTTTTTATTGATTTACATCCAGTAATCTTCTTTACAAATCCTACCATGTAACCATCACGCTCAACACAAACCACTAATAAATGTACGCAATGATGCTTAGGTTGCACGAGCCTAACATAAGAGCTATAACTGTCAAATCATGGAAAAAGCTGTTAGGTAATGATGAAAAGCCAAAAACAGATGGCACAAATAAAATCGAAGAAACCATTCTACCTTCAGACTACTGTATCTCTGGATATGAAGATGCATCTTTGCAAGAAATTGAAAGTTGGATGAAAAGTGATGATCAGTATGAAATAACTAATGAAGAAATTACAGTTCTTCTCAACTGCAATGAAAATTATATTGAAGATAAAGAACTAGCTGTTAAGGATCACTAAATTTCACACGACAGAGTTCAAGTTCTAGAAATTGCCATTAAATTTATCGAGCAACAAGAAGCAGCTACAGGAATCAGCACAGTGATGCTTGCAGGCTCATAACATATAAAACTATAACACAGTTTGACTTTTAACTAAGGTATTTAAAAGAGATTGAAAACTTAATTGCATAGTGAAATATACATAAAATAAATTGCTTGTTGAAAGAATTAATTAAATAAAGTTTGTATTTATTATAAAATTTATACTTCAGAGCAACCTTTTTCAAAAAAAAAAAAAAAAATCAGACATATAAAAAAAAAAAAAAAAAAAAAAAAAAAAAAGAAAAAGAAAAAAAAAAAAAAAAAAAAAAAAAAAAAAAAAAAAAAAAAAAAACAAAAAAAAAAAAAAAAAAAAAAAAAAAAAAAAAAAAAAAAAAAAAAAAAAAAAAAAAAAAAAAAATAAAAAAAAAAAAAAGAAAGAAAGAGAGAGAGAGAGAGAGAGAGACTATCCCAAATAATACTGTTATAGTCATTCAAAAATTACAAAAATAAAAACATATAGGCTGCTTGACGATATTACTCTTTAGAAAGGTACATTTTAAAAACTGATCATAATCTAAGAACCATAATTCTACAGCCATAAACCTTTAAAACTTTTATATAAATTTTCCTGGCATAAACATTCAAATGCACAACAGGTATTCTAAATGTAATTAGATATTTTAAAAACAGAAATTTAAAGAATTTTGTTCGTGTTTACAAACTTCACCCACATTTCAAAATAAACAATTATCAATAGCTACAATTAAACACATTTCTAACTTAGACATTAAAATGACAAGGCATTGGATACTTCTTTATTATCACAGCAGAAATTATTTAAATAGTGCCAAGAAATATTTTTTAATGGACTGCTCCAAAGCAGCAAACCTATTCAAAACTCTTCTATTAAGGGGCAAATTTTAAATGACTGCAGTTAGGTCTACCGATCATTTGGTGATGGTTTGATTTGCTCTGAGCAGGGTTTTTGCTTTGGCACAATTCATTAATGAGAAAGCTTTTGGTGTGATTTAAATAACATAAGCCTTAATAATAAGGAAGTACAATGTTTTACTGCAGACTGAAAAAAAATGACGTGAAGTCAAAATGAATCAAAATTTTTTTTAATTGCTAAAAAACTTTCACTAATTTTACTGTAGCTATTACTAGTTTTACTATATCATATTCCTATTTCAGAGTTCAGTTAGCTTTTAAGACTGTTTCATATTTTCAGAATTCTGATTCAACTGCTTACTCATGTAGCAGTTACAATTATTCAAAAATGACAAATTTAATGTACTGAATTCTCTCCTGTACAGAAACAAACAAACAAACAAAAAAAAAAAAAAAAAAAAAAAAATTACATTCAATCATTTGCCTTAAAATTAAACGAAAATTGAAATAAAGCTAATAATAATAAGCCAAAGAAAATGATTTCACAAAAATGATTTAAAAGCAAAGAAGGTGGTTTAATAGTCACTCTCGTACAAATATTATGTAATAAAAAAACATGATTAATGCCTAAATATATTTAACTGTAAGCAACAGATAGTTTAATAATTTAGGAAATTTTTTAATGATTATGCAGCAAAACATATGTCAGAATGAATCTGTTAACTATGATCTTTGTTAAACTTAATTTTGATTTGTCTTTTAATTTGTCATTCTTGGTACGAGGGTTCATACAAAGGATGCATGAAAAGAAAACCATCCTCCAAATACACTTCCAAACTGCATTCAAAATATGTGAATATGGATCACATCTATCTAAAATACATGCTCCCTCTCAAAAACTGTTCATCGGGTCATGTACTCAAGATGTAAAATAACCTATCTAAAACTGCTTTATTACGTTGAATCTAAATGTCAATAACAAACGCAGTAGCAATTCTTCTAGAGCTGCAGTATTCCCGATTTCTACAAAAATCAATGAAATACAAGTTATCATCCTACTACATCAAAATTGAAAAAACAAGACAATTTATTATCACAAAAGAAGGGGGAAAATGGAAACAGCTAATAAATGTTACAGGCAGAAAGAGACATTAAAACAGCTGCACTTAATTTATTTACATGTTTTTAAAAAATAAAGATTTAAAAAATTAAAGCTTTTGAGGGAGAAAATCTTTTTTTTTTTTTTTTTTTCCTTTTCCCCTCTCTTCATTTATGCCATCATCATCTGGTCCTCTTACACAGTGCACATGTATAGGAGGCACAAAAAGTAATTATAAATACAGTTTACATGGGCATGTCCTACGTGTATAGATTTGAGTTTTGTAAATACTGTATTTAACTCTTTTTTTTTTTTTTTTTTTTTTTTTTTTTTTTTATGCGTACAATTTCTGTATAATGATTCTGCCTTTACACTCATATTAAACAGGATGGCTTTATTTCTGATTTTATTACAGGCAAACTGAGTGAAGACTTTTTACTTTAATCTTATTATCTTCAATTTCCGTAACTTTTTGTCAGACTATTAATTTTTTTATATTTCTTTCTTGCTGCCATTTTGTCCAGCCTCCCCAGTCCTGCTTCCTTTTTTAGGCAACCTAATTTCGACCACTGTCTCAAAATATTCTCTTTCAGAATAAATTATCAGTCTTCTAATTCTATGCCAAATTTCTCACCTCATTATAATAAACCTTAGCTTAGTTTATTCCTTAAAAGTACAATGTCAAGAACACCAATCTTAACATCTGACGGTTTTTTCATTTTTCTGCAATGATTTTTGCCATAGTTTGATGAGCACTGCTATTCATCCTTTTAGAAATTTACATAAGTTATGTATTTTATTGTTTAACAGTTTTGTTGTTTTATTTTTTAATTACATTTATCCCTTTTAGTTGCTTTTAAGATTTTTCCATAGCTAATAGGTAATAAATAGTACAGTATATTAAAAAAATGCTGTTTTTTTTTCACCTTCAGTAACTAATTAATTCATTAGTTTCACTAACGTTACAGAAAAAGCAATTTAATTTTTATTACGTACTTTTAGCCAAATGACAACAAATGTTACTCTAGAAGACCAGAATATTCAAAATTAAGTCTTTTAGCATAATTTGGCTATTGTACTTTTGATTGTAAAATTGACATTTTTAAATCTAGAGAATTATTTATTTTTTATTTTTATGCAGCAATGTCCTTTTTGTTTGTTTCTTTCTTTCTTTCAAAGTCTAAATTCAGATTGGGGCATATTCTTGACTCTTTGAGAATGGAAGTAATAAGTTTTGTAAAAAAATTGTTTGTGCATATATTTAAATTATTTTTAGCTTTTGTTCACTCAAACAGTTAAGAAGAACAAAATGTGTGTTCAGAACACCTTTAATTATGTTTGTTTAATGTTTTAAACAATCACCTCCTGATTAGGCTGTTTAAAGCATTAAACTTTGCATAATTAATTTGCAATTTATCCTAAGAGCTTAAAAAAATTTTTTTTTTCATTATTTTAAAGAAATCTTTGGCTAATACTTTGTTTCAATTGCTTAACATTTTTGCTCTCTCTCTCTCTCTCTCTCTCTATATATATATATACATATAGTGGTACCTCTAATCACGAGATTTCTCATATATAAAGTTCCCTGTGCTGCTACTGATTGACACTGTAAACAAACCGAACAGTAAGCTTGCTGGTTCAGTTTACGTGATTACCTTATACCAGAAGCACCTCTTTAATATTTTGAGCTCATTTTCTTGCTCATGTGTTTGGGCTGTTATTTTCCCATTATTATTAAGATGTATTTCTGAAATATGCATAGAATATGCATATACTGAAGTAGAAGGAGGAAATAATAGCTGTAAGCTAAGGGCATTACACTAATCTCAAAAGAGGAAACTTCTACAAATGAAGAGAAAGAGAAGCTGTTAAATAGCTATGGCTGAAGATGAAGCAGCGCAAAGGAAATACCATGATCAAGGTATCATCTATGAGAAGGTGCAAGTTATATACACCAATTTGCTGAGGTAGTTATTTGGAGATGACTCTCCAAGCTCTTCAAACAATTAATCTGAATCCAGATTCAAGGCAAGTTATGGCTGGTTTAAAAATTTTAAAAGGCAAACTGGAATTCAAGCATGGTGAAGCAACAGGTCCAGACATGAAGGCAGCCAAAGAGTCCTTTCAAATTTTTGTGGCACTAATAGAAGCCGAAAGGTATATTGCCCAGCAAGTCTACAGTTATAATGAGCCAAGGCTCTTCTGGAAGAGGATGCCAAGGCAGACATGTAACAATAGAGGAGACAAACATGCAGCCTATAAACCCATTACAAATAGATTGACCTTCACACGGAGTACAAATCCAAGTGGAGACTCCAAAATAAAGCCACTACTCACATGCGCCAATTAGAAAACACCAGAGCATCTAAAGTCTATAAAATTATAGAAGAAAACTCCAGATTATATGAAAGGCAAATTCAAAGGTGTACATCATCAGGCAAGTTTTTTCAGAGTAGATCAACCTAGTCTTTGGTTCTGTTGTTTAAAAGTACCTGGAGGAAAATAAATTACACCTGCACAGCCTTCTCGTATTTTACAATCATGTGCACCTATCAAACATTGAAGATATCCCATAAAAATAGCAACATGTGGCACAATAGCACTGTTCAATGACACTTAATGAACACTGTTGTTATTAAAGAGAAGATGAAATAAATTTCTTTGAACAAGTTTCTATTGAAATGTACTTTAGTAAAAAGTGAAGAAATAGTGGAGAAAAATGTAGCCAAAAAAAAAATTAAATAAATAAAGAATAACGAAGGCATGACACACATAATTAGAGTACAGTAACAATACAAAAATACTTTATTTCTTTACATTCTCCTATACACATTTGCATTATAATTTTTATTGTTTTATTTATACAGTCACAAAAATTGAGGTGGTAGATTGGATGGTTGAAACCAATTAATGTTATTTAAACTTATTTCAATGGGTTTTTCAGGATACTAAAAACAGACTGGCTTATATGCTCAGTTACGGAATGAATTAAACTCCTATGCTGAGGTGCCACTTAATTTTCAAAAAATCCTCAAATAGTTTTAAGACAACTGGCTATTAAAGATGTAAATATGTATAACCAAAAAATATTTTACTTATTTTGACAAAATATGCACGGTTTATCTGTTATAAAAGGTAAAAGGTTTTCTAAAAACATTTGCTCTTCTTTTTAAATCAAAATAAAGAAAACCATATAGAACCATATATTCAGCTTCTGAAATAAACTTCAGCCATATTAACTTCAACCAATTCAGCTTCTGAATGAATTCTGGGGTAAATTATTAGTGTTCAGTGGTCTTATTAAGTGAATTTAAACAGACTTATAAACTAAATAAAACACCACTTGTATCCCATAAATCGTTAGTGAAGCTTGCTTAGAGAACGGAAATTCTAAGAAAATTATCACAGTGTCCTATTCAAAATCTTTACTAACATTAAGTCGATACAATAGATCATTATTTGTTGACATAAATGAAAACAAAATAATCAATAGTTTTCATCTGAGAAGTCTAACAAATTAATTATGATGAATACTTATATCTGATATAATTTAGTCATATGAAATTGAAATGGAATTTTTTGGTTGAATTTTATACACTCACCTTCCTGCAATTCCACTTGGCTGAATCTCTTGAATAAAAATTCCAAGCTCTCCTTTTTGTTCACATCGTAGACCAACAACACTGAAACCCAAACTGCTTCCCTCTGGTTTAAATAGCTGCAAAGTATGAATTTCTCTGCCTTGAGCACCTTGATCTATAGTACGCTGGAATTCTTCCGCATAACTTTCAGTAGTGATTGGTGACAAAACATATTCTGGTGGTGCACCAATGATTGATGACATCTAAAACAATTTTTACAGATTAAATTTGAAATTTTTATAAATTATATCTAGAAAAATATTTTGCATTTGAAGGTGTTAAAATAAAAGTTATAACAAGCAAACAGTGACAGAATTCCAATATGTTTGCACAAATTAGAATTTTTCCCACATGGGTGTTTCTACCAACTTGTGTTTTATATTCCAATTCCAGAAGAATAAAGAATTCAAATACACAGCATTATAATATTAAAAAAATAATAATAATAATGGTACTTTTCAGTTAACAAAGGGCCAAAGTACCAAATGTGGTAAATTGTTTATTTCACCTTACTAGTATATATGCAATGACACTGTAAATAAGAAGTATCAGTATATAGATATTTATTTACAAAAGAATACTTCCTTCTTATTTACATACAATACTTACCATAAATAAGAAAGAAAAATGATGTTCATTCCAGTTTTAGTTGCTGTTTTACAGAAGTACTAAAGTCTCTCCCCTTCCCCCCCTTTTTTAAAGGATTACATGATTGGGTAGTTACAAAATGACAGACAGTGAAAACACTGAAATAGTGCTGCAATGAAAGATCATGCTATGAGAAGAAAGTTTTACAGAAGGAGGGATGCTGGTTTCAAAGATTATGCATTTCCTTCCAACAACAGAAAACTATTTGGTTTATTTAGTTTTGGCATCAATTGATAGATGCTAAAACCTTTTTTATCTCTACTATTAAATAATGAAGAATCTGTATGCACATATATATGTTCCTCACATTGTGGAAAAATGGCAACCTTTAAAAAGCCACCAAATTTTGAACACATATTGTCCTCCACCTGAACATGTAAAAAGCCCGAATTTTAAATTGCACATTTGTTTTGTTTACTTTTTATTCTGCATGAATTTAATAAACACTTCACTATAAATTCAATGATTTAAAAGCCTTTGTGTTGCCATTCCACAAAGTGTAAAATACTCTCGTTTCAAATTTCATCAGAAAAACTCCAATATAAAAGGAATTTGGTGGTCTCGGCAAAACACAATAGATTTGTCTTTAATCACATTATGAAGAAACAATGGCACCTACAGACAGACACCAAACTTTAAATACACATAATCTTCCACCCAAACATATGTACCTTGAAGCTCAAATTTTGAATTTCATATTTTGTGTGAGAACTTCTGAATAAAAACTCAGCGATATAAAAGCTTTGTGCTGTCACTTTCAAAAGCAAACATTTATGTTTCAAATTTAATCAGAAAGCTCTTTTATAAAAGAAGTGTGTTCCCACTTGGGAAAATGCAACACATTTATCTTTTGAATTTAATCTACAAAGTCAGTGATTTAGAAGAAATATGTGGTGCCATTGTCCAATTTAAAATATTTCTATCTTCCACATGAAAGATTGTTGTCATTCAGCAAATGTTAAGATATTTAATTTATCTTCCAAATTTATTCTATTATTAATTAACAAGAACTAAGCAATTTAAAAGCAATAAATGATGATTCAATTATGTTATTAATTACTACTCGAACCCATAAAATTACATTAGTTGGAATCCTTAAAATCATTACACATATTTTTCTCTTTTATAATAAATATTTAGGTGGTTTGCCATCCAAGTGGCTAGTTCTACAAAAAATTACTTTTTTAAGCAGCAACCATTTTAGGCCCTATTATATAGCTTTATAATTAGCTTATTCCAATTTTAAAATTACGAACACAAATGATAAATAGTAAAATCCCTTGTAACTGCCACCCAGTCAGTCCGCAATATCAAAATAACGACACTTTTCAAAATTTAAATCCAAAATTTAGCCCAATGAGATAAAAATATATGTAATGGGCTAACAATTTAACAACTTTACTGTTAAAAACATTTGTATTATGTTATGTTTCTGTCGCCCAATGTAACAAACTTTATCCAGCTACTGAATCAACAAATTATCCAGAATGTAAAGATGAACAAACTATCAATCCCTTTTAGGTATCCATATGAGAACTTAGAAAGTAGATTCCACAATTTTCAGAAACAATTCACACTGAAAGAAACCATATTTAATTTGTATTTAAATTCTCTACTTCCTGCAAAGTTATTAAAAAAATTACTCTTCTTCATTGCTGGTGTAAATTGTAGCTAATGATCATGTTTGTACATGACAAATTGAGTGATAAAGAGTCTCTTGTTTTTAAAACACATTTGGCATGATGTCAGATGTCTTAGATTTATTTGCATATTTGGAGAGTGAGGAGGAAGTGCTGTCTTAGATGGATGTAGACTAGTACTGTGGGTCATGACCCCAAAAGGGTTTGCAAAGTGAAATGTTGGAGGTCGCAAAAATTTAATTCTGTTAAATGAATTTTTAAAAAAATCTGAAAGTTTACAGATTTTTAAATTATGCCCAAAAGGGCTTTTTTTAACATTTTGTGTGTTGCCTTTATTTATTAAATATTGCACTTAAACCATAAAATTCAACAGCATTATCACAATATAATTTAAAAACAGCATATCTTTAGAATTTCCGATTCTCAGTCTCGCGCACTGGAGATAAAAATATTTTTCTTTTTGTACTGTGTTGCCATTGCTCTTGTTAGTTTTTTAATCAAAAACTCATAAATGCTTTACAAAGTATGAAATAGATAATAAAACAAATTCTAAATTCGGGCTTCCAGATGCCCATATTAGTGTGGCGACATACATTATTCAAAATTTGATGGCTCTAGATACCGTTGTTTTATCCCAATGTCAGAAACATACATACATTTATGCAAATTCTTCATTATTTAATTTCTTTAAATATAATACAAGGCAATAATATTTGGTGGCAACAATTTGAAAAGTCATACGCCGTTTATAGTGAATCAATGCAAAATGCCAAAATGAAATTAATAGCCCTTCTGGGCCAATGCCCTTTGGGATAATTAAAATAATATAACCCTCCCATTGTTATGAATCTAAATTGTATACAAAGCAAATTTTTTAAAATTTCAGTGACAATTGTGTAAGCAAGCAGACATTCAAAGTTATATGTCGCCATACTAAGAAATTTGCAGCTTTCACAAAATAAAAAATACAGTAATTTTAAAGTGTTGTTTAATTTTATTTTTCTGAAATATAAAATCATGTTGTTTCAATTTTAAATAATCTGTATGATTTTCAACATTCTTTATTTAATTGTGGTTGACAAATCAAAAGCACTACCAACAGACATTGGATGCTGCAATTTCTACAGATGAAATAGCAAAGCATAAGCAAGTAAGTTCTGAGAATATTATTCAATTATAAAGAAAAATCTTTCATTCAGAAGTCCCACTGTTGCCAGTTGAGAGAGATTTTGTTACATATTTAATATTCTTTTAGCAATAAAATTAAACTTACATTTAACACACTTAATCACTCGTACAGAAAAAGAGACATTGTGTTAATACAAAATTCAAGATTAGTGTCTGACTTCTATTATTTGACATCTGATTCACAAATGTTCCACCTGTTGTTATTTTATATAATAAACTTGAATTTTAATTATTAGGATGCAAAACCATATTACATAAATAATAAGTGAGAACAATTAGAAATTTTAGAAGAAATAATTTTGAAATTTGAACTTGAATGACCCCCAGTATTTAGTCCCCATGGGAAATAGTAATAGTCATTTTATTGGCCCACTTAACGGATGACTGAATCAACCTTGCCCAACCTGGGGATCAAACCCCGGACCTGCGATGCAGCTGTGCGGCGTGCTAGCCACTTCACCACCGGGTGGTATCTGATTTAAATTACTTTGACTTTAAATACAATGAAAATAAGAGTAATAATTTATGAACATACTTATTGTTAGGGTAAACTTAATAGTGCACTATTTATTGGTGTAAAACAAAATTAAATACTAATATTAACTGATTAAACACTGGTTGCAACTTCATAAAAAGTTCTACAAATGTCTACGGTAGATCAGACAATTTAGATCAAATAAAATTTAATGAGAAAAATTATTTGGAAAAAAGCTAAGGATGGGAGGAATGGAATCTGCTTGATTTTTTTCAGTAATTCAATAAATGTTATTCAATGAGGAAAACATTTTCCTTAATAAAGGTTAAAAAGTAAAAACTGAGAAATTTGGTAATTATCAGGAGACCACAAGATATGATTATAAAAAAACTAGGAGTCTCCCAATGATACTCGAAGAGTTGGTAGCTCCAGTTTTCTATGGATATGACAAAAATACATATGAATCAATAAATTTCCACTGCAATCAATGCATATCTGTGAATCATTAATTTTTAATCAACTTATAAACTAATTTTAAATAAAATTAATAAAACTAAATTTCAACCAAAGACTGTAGTCTCCTTTTTCCAACAAAATAGCTACTGAACTATTCAAATGTATAGTTGGTAAGTGAAATTGCATAAATGTCATGATTAAATGAAGTTTCAGTGCATACATAGAATACACGAATGTGTGACATTAAGGCATCATAAATAACACTATTATATGTACTATGAATCACAGCTCTATATTTCTGCTTCTCAGAATCTGTTGTTCTAAATTAATGAGGAGTTAACTTTTATATCTCATCCTGAATATACGGTTGTTTTCTTCCTAATATAATAAGGTACATCTGCAATATGTTGTAATATACCCAAAATACTGAAACCAAAAACTACATAAAAAAGCAAAGGAAAATTTCTAATTTCCGGTACTTGTCTCACTTTTTAAACTTTCAATTAAGTATTATTAAAAGCATCCGATTATTTAATTAGGTTTTGTAACTACAAGTATTTAATTGTTTACTTAAATTGATTCATTTATGTGTTACATAAATAAATAATCCTCAAAGTAGACATTTATCAAGAATATAATACTATTATATAAAGTATTATTAAAAGTATTATCAATTAAGTATTATTAAAAACATTCAATTAATTAAGTTTTGTAATTACAAGTACTTAATTTTTTATTTAGATTGATTCATTTACATTTACATAAATAAAGAATTCTCAAAAGTAGACAATTATCAAGAATATAATACTATTATACAAGAGGAAAAAAACAAAAACAAACCTCATTCGAATGCGGTTCCATTTCATCTGATTTCACACCTAATCTAGTTTTGCCAACATGTCCATCATAATCATAATTTTGTTCAGCATCAGAACTAGGTTCATAGGAATCTGAATTTTGTAAGGGAATAGGGTCAGCTGGCAAATTAAGCAGTAACTCTCCAGTAGTTGGACATATATCAAAATCAACAGGTAATATAGATGGATGTTTATGTAACTGCCTCTTTAATTCCTGAAGTGAATCCTAAGAAGAAAGAAGAAAATAAATAAAAATAATTTAACACAAATGATGAATATGCTTTAAAGCAACATTCAATGAGCTCAAAAACCTCATACAACATGAAAGTTTAAATTTGAGCTAGAAATATGAACATTATAAAGAAGAAACCCATTATTTGTCCTCACACTGCAATGCACAGATTTCCTTCCTCAAAATTAATTATTTGCTGTTTCAAGGAAAAATTCTAAAACCCTTAGAAAATTTTAAATGATACATTTTACAGCTCTACCAATAAAGTAACTGGACGGTTTCTTATAAATAAGAAAAACATAACTAACCTTCAAATAAATTTACCTCCTTCTAAATAATCATTAGGGGATGCTACACTTTTTTTTTTTTTTTTTTTTCCATCAAAACACAGTTTATAGGCTATGGAATTAACTGTTCATAAAATATGCATAACATTTGATTTAACATCCGAGACATTTTTAAATCTCTGCCCTTTAACAGCCATCTTAAGCTTCAGGAAAAGTAAATACTCAGGTGGATATGGACGATTTATCACAACTGAATGTTTAGCAATATACTTTTGTACAGAAAGTGATGTCTGGGCCAAACTTTATCATGTAAAATAAACTTTTGGCCAGAATTAAAAAGTTCTTCCCTAACCAGCCTTAATCAAGCTTCTTAATCAAAAAAGCACCCCCTTGTAAAAATACTGATAAATTGATTGATTTTCATGTGAATAAGTCTTCTGGAATCAAAAAATGCAAGCATCAGCTTAGTCTTTGATTTTATTATTAATGTCTTTTCTCGTTGTTGTTGTATGGGAGGATATAAGTTTGTTTCACTGTGTGCTTTGTCTTTTTGTTTCTGTGTCGTATTGTAGACACTATGTCTCATCTCCCTCTATGATATACTTTAAGAAATTGTCCTGTCTTGCAGTAGACAGCAAATCTTCACAGCAAGCTTTTCCTTCTTCTCTTTGCTGCTCTCTTAAAACCCAAGCATAAATCGAGCACAATGCCTCATTTTCAGATTTTCAATTAAAATTAACCTACAGATTTCTTTCTTATCCTGAGCATATCTGAAGGTTGCCAAGTTACTATAAGTCTATCAGCTTTTACCAAAGAGCTAATTTTTTTCATATTTTCCTCATTCTTTGAAGCTGAAGGACCCCCTACCTTTGGTTCATCTTCAACACTTTTGCATACATATTTAAAAGGGATTGTATTATTTATAAACTTGTGCTCTGGATAATAATGCATCACCATACACTGTTCGAATCATCCCTAGCATTTTGGTAGCAGATTAATATAATTTGTAGCAAATTTAATCTTATAACAATGTTCCATATCGAAGCAAATTTTTTTGTACAATGTCTCAGCAAATGAAAATGACTCCAGTATTTTGATATGCAAATGATAAAATAGCCAGTTTATACAGACTTTAATAATAGTTGATATGACCTTTAATAATACTTTCTAAACATACATTTATTCTTTCACTTTTTTTTATTTTATCATGTACTCTTTTAATTTGTCGAGTTGTTTAAGGATACAGCTTGTATTTAAATAAGACATATTGTATTTCTTGTATTTCTTTTCTTTGTGCAATGATTTACTTCACTGCTTTCAAAATCTTTGCATTGTTAATGTAATAGGAAAAATACTTTAAGAAACAAGGTATAGATAAAATGAAACAAATTTCTTGAGCAATAAAAATAGTCATGCCACTTCGACAGTTTAAGAATCACTAAAAAATATTATGCAATCAATACTTATTAGCAGAGCAAGAAAATTTTATAATACTTATGCTAACATCAATTTAAAATATTTATATTAATATCATGCAGTGGTGAGGAATCAAGAGAACTGTTCTACACAAATAGGCTGCGAAAAAAATATAAACCAAAGTTCTAATGCAGTCATTTTAACCTTGACAGTACTACTGTCATGACAAAAGCAATCTTTCTGAATCAGGGGTGACTGCAAGCGCTTCACTAATTATATATTTTATCTGCTGATATATTCTGTTAAAATTTTCGCATGATAGTATTTTATCTCATAAGCATAATGTTATGAAAACATATTAATGAAAAATTAATGAAGTTCAAAGAATACTATTGAAATCAGTGAAGTTATGTATTCCTCATACCTATTATTACATAAAGGACTTAAGAATTCAAAATAAAAAGAGAACATTTTAACAAAATAAATTAAAATCCACAAAGAAAACCTAAAGATATCTCTAAACCTGATAACTTTAGAAAATAAGATAACCAACAGCAAAAGATCATAATGTATTTTGCTTTTACATAAAACTTGTACTTTAATAGTGCATAACAATGTCTTAAACTTTTCTTAAAAGATACTGTTTTACTATCTAAAATCTTAATACTACTACATAAATATATAACTTGAGAAAGATCAGTATGTTATTTTTACTTTGAAGAAAGTAAATAATACATTCTATGCCCATACAATTAATAAATGTTTCTTCAAAGGAATTGGCAAAATAAATACAAACAAAAATTACACACCGAAATAATTTCATGATTTTGACTGGATTTGAACTGTGTTTCATACTCTGAGCAGCAAAACACCAGAGAGATTTCTAACAATAAAAATGTATTTCAAGACTACTGAAACCATCTGAATTTTAAAATAATACATTTGAATCATAATTATTTGCGACATAAAATGAGAATGTCTGGTATCCATATTTCAATAAGAAGCACTAAGAAATATACGCAATCAATAAAACATGCAATGAAAGCTCAACACTGCTCCTCCAATAACTTCAAAGGTTTCTCCAATTACTCAATGATGTATTCCTACAGAAATGACTTTGTTATATGTGCAATATCATTTATATCAACATAATGCAAATGAAATAAATAAAATGCATAATGAACCCTATTTATTGGAATACCGTTATGAATGAAATGCTATCCAATACTACTTTTACACAGATCTTCAAAGAAATTATTCAAAATTATCCTGAAGATATGAACTTCATAAAAATTCATGGCCATGATAAAACTTGTGAACCTTGTCTTTCTATACGGTCTGATCAGAAACATTAGATAAAACAGACATATGGAAGTGGTGAGAATAGTCAGATACACTGGAGATGGTCCAAAACAAAGCCACATGATCCATTACTCAGCAGCCAAAAACACAAACTCGGGAGTATGCAGCAGTCAATACTACTCCTATTGTTGCCATACAACTATACACACTGATCTTTCCTCAAATTTCAGAGATAAACAGATAAGCTGGAATTACATTCATGAAAATAAGGACGTCATAGCAAGCAAACTGGACTTGAAATAGTCAACTGAGGTGTTGCAAAATCCAAATTACTTCTATTGAAGCATGTCAAGAAATGCTAAATAACCTAGAAAAGGGGTTCTCAAATTTTTTAATTTTTGTATCACATGAATAAGTATCAAAAATACATGTACCATCATAAAAGCATTTTCTGATTAAATACAAAGGTACTTGCAAATTATTGAAATCACCTTGGCACAATTTGGCAATATTTTTGCAAATGAAAAAGTAAAATTTACTTAGGGGCGGAGCTGACGATTTTTGCAATATTTTTTAAGAGGTTCCCAAGCTAGTGATATTTATCATAAGTAAGCAAACTTTATCCACATTTTAAATTAAAACAAATTTTAACAATTTAAAATATGAATATTAATTATTAAATAAGGATTATATGATATATTAAAAAATAAAATTATTTGTGAGACACATTATTAAGACAAATTATTTGTGAAATTCTGCTGTAATTTTTTGCTCTGGTCTTTTTCCTATGTACACAGTGATCTGGTTTCACTTAAAACAAATATTAGAGAATTGTACAAACTTCATACTGTGCATCTACCAAATATCATATCTCAACATTGTTTGTTCCCTTTACATATTTTGTAGCAAAATATTGCATTCCTGCATATATTTGGTAATTCTGATAACATCTAAGTACCAAAATAAATGCATCCTAAATGGAATAATGTAAACAATGTAACATCTAAAATAATAATTTACTGTTAGTGTATACTTTAGGAAACCTTGACCTAAATACATATATACACATGATTATTAGTAAGAAATTACTCATCCTATTTATCTTAAACGATTAAAGAACATTTATAAAGTATTAAATGTTAAATTATTTAACACATTCGCTGCCAATCTTACACTGGTGCGTGATTGGCATTATTGCTGAAGAGTGAATCACGCTCTTACGCGTGGTGTGGGGTGATGTCGCGGGTGCCAGTCACACACTGGCTTGGGAAAAGTAGAGTCTCATTGTTTATTTTGAAGTTCAGTCAGCATTACGTTTTGGATATATATGGTGGTATTGGAGTGAGGTGAAGGTTAGAAACTAGCCGTAAATGTATGTGGTTTGGAATGGAAACAAAGTTTCATTTCGCACAAAAATCATAGACTAATAACATTCTAAAATATATAGTTTGCAATAATTTTGTTGCAACTATCTTGTATGAAATTCATTTGTAATATACATATTTGTTTGTGATATAGTTTCATACCAAAATAATGTATATTGTTACTTATTTTGATTCATGTTTAAATGCCAGGCACCATGGGCACAATGTGGCACTGCAAAAATAATTTTACCACTAGTGCCAATCACGTGCTGGTGTGAAGTAATAAAATGCTATTCTTAAAGGCTTAGTAATCAATGTGGTACATATAATAATCTTTTATTACCTCTTTTAAATTGTATTTCTTATAATATGTAAATCGGCATATGGATACAACCTATTTCTAAGATGCAGCATTAACTATCAATACAGCCTCACATGACTGGCAGCGAAAGTGTTAAACAAATTCAATAAATCATGATGCTTACATATCAACACAATTACATATCTTTAGTTTTAACAACCAGTGTCAACTTCATAGACATTTTTTATAACATTCCAACAGTTTTTTATAAAACAAATCAATGTCTTTTTTTTTTTTTTTTTATTTTGTTTTATACTCTGTTTTAAATTAAAATTGATGTGTTTTGTGAGATTTGGATGCACGAAAAAGGTAACAGTAAAATTTTTGCAGGAATACAACAGTTTGACACAAAATCATTAAACGCAATAATTACTAAACAACAAGTAAAACATAACATATGTTTGCAACAATATGTATGTATAAAATGAATAATTTTTGCAACTACAATATTCTTTTTTTTTTCTGTAAAAAGTGAGCAAAGGTGATTACACTAATATGTAAATACCTAAATCACTAAGTTTTGCTTTAGAGAATAGTAGTAGTAGTAGCTTACTTAGCTCACTTCAGTAGCTTACGAGATGCTTCTTACAATACTTTTATCTTTAGTACCAGTACTAAGTTTTTATGTGTATTACTTATACAGATTTAGGTTTCCTACTTATAAAATTTCTTAACCAATACACTTTTAATTCCAGACCATGAAAATCAAATCATTATATCCTTTTTCACAAAAATATATAAAGCATCAAACAGTATAATACTTTTAGTATGAAAACATTTACAAAATGTTTTCATACTTAAACATAATTGAAGCAAACTAGATACCAGCGATTTATATACTTAAAAATAATTGAAGTAAACTAGATACCAGCGATTTACATACTTGAATATTCAGAATACTATTAAAGACAGGACTGTCTAAAACAGAAATCAAAGTGTTAAGATCATCACCAACAGTAGGACTTAATTGGGCAGCTTCTGATTCTTGCAAGTGTAACTGAATGCGCTCCAAAAGCTTTAAGGCTTGCCGTGTATCTGGAATAAAATTTTCCATACATTAAGTAAATAAAATGAAAAATAGTTCGGCAAGTTATAAAAGAAATGTTCTATTGAAAAACACAATCTAGACAATCAGCCTAAAAATACACACTTTCTTTGAGCACTGAACATTATTTTAACCAATATGCTAGTTCTCAGATGATTAGAAAATTAATTAAAAATATGAGATTGGATTTTCCAAAAAAGTATAGCAAACTTTCTAGTAAACTTTTTTTCTAAAAGCTACACACAATTTTTATATTACTTTTCCTGAATATTCTTATTTATATTATGCACAAAAATACGATGCTAAAAAATTAATTTTTATCAACCTGACTAAAAATTCATTTTTCACATGCTTGTTGGCATTTTATTCAAGAAAAGGCAAAATTTACTTACTTTTATATGATATTGAATCTTAAGAGAGTTTTTTATTAGTTGGCACTTACAGAATTGATTTAACACAATAAAAATTTGTAAAATATAAGTATCACATTATGTATATATTAAGAATGATATTGAATATTTTATTATTCTTCTGAACAACTAATTATAAATAACAATTGCCAATTAAGTGATAATTCATATGCAAAAAGGAATAAAAGCTTTGCTTTTTTTTTTTTTTTTTTTTTTTTTTTGAAACATTAATCTTTAAAGAAAATGAGAGTAATACAAAAAGAAATATTTATTTAATACATGCAAATAATATATTTTAACAAAAATCTTATGACAGTTTTACACAGTTAATGATATTGTTATACTAATATCAACTTTTTCCTATTTTGTACCAATATACATGATTTTCATACCATCAAAATTTATGCACAACTTTTGGCTTGATTACAAGATAAGAATAACAACTATTTCTCCTGTGTTTGCTTTCATAACAGAAGTTGAAGATATTTTTTAATTAAATGTAATATGCAAAATTAAAGTTCTGCAGTGTGAAGACAATGCCTATATAAGACATAGGCAGTGAAAAGCTCATTGGAGGTACTTCTATTGCTGTAGGTTATTATTCTGCATCTTTATGAGGTACTTTTCCATTTCGCCGGCGCAAATCTCGCCAAGCAGACTTTGTTAGCAACAGCATACACATAAAAAATTTTAACAAATGTTAGTTCCAAGAATTTTTTATTTTGAAGGCATAAGCATTTTAATATGGTTTAAAATTTTGTAAAAAGCCAGTAAATAAAGACATTAATTTAAAATTTACTATGCTTTCATGGTTCAACGTCCTGATTCACCGGTTCGTATCACGTGACGTCAAGTGATCTCATCACACATAAACTACGCTACAAAAAATTAATTCTCTCATTAATCTACATTAATTTCAAGTTAAAGCTTAGTTTGGAATACAAGTTTAAACGCAAGAATTATTTCAGTTGGTACGAATAGCTTACTCAGAAATTATATAAAACCGCGTTGCTTGACTTCACTAGTACATTCTCATTAGAATTGATGAATTTAACCCTTGATTTTGCCTTTTCTATATTTTTGCCTTCAGGTAAGCAGTGTGATTGCATCCTATTTGACTTAATTACTACAAATGGTCATACTGCATAAAAATTTAGCTATCTAGATAAAAATTCTATGTAATTGTATGCCAGTATTGAAAGAAATAATCAATCTGATAAGAAATGGCTGCGACTTGTTTTGAAAATGAAGCGAAAGGTTACCAGCAAAGATATGGCATCAGTTGTACCATTATTGGCGACTTTATCGTTTGCGCCGGCAAAACGGAAAAGTACACATTTTTTTAATAAAATGAATTATTATTAGTAATATTAACAATAGTAAAACATATTGAAGCACCATTTTACAAACAAAATGATACTGAATTTAATAATTAAATATCATTACGTTAAAAATTAACACTTATTAAGTTTTACTATATTATGCATAATAAAAAAAAATTCAACCAAATTAATTTAATACATATTTATTTACTCTGAGATGTCAAAAACTAAAATAAAAGTTTTGAACTAATTGAATCCTCCTAACCTCCAATTCTGAGAAGAAATTTTTAAAATGTAACAATAAAAAATAAAAAAATAATAATATTTGGTCAACCTGAAAGTTCAGTTGTTTTTTGATGATAAACGTAGTACTTTTGCTTTATCTGTCCAGCACACTGAAGAATCACTGGGCAAAGTGCTATGTCACCAAAAATAGGCAACCCAGGATGTAGCAAACATGGATTTTATCTGTCAATCCACTAATGTCCATGCTTGCACTATGCCGCTGCATGATGCATAAAATTTTGGAATTGGAGGGTTATATTTGTGGTTTCTAATTGTGATAATAGATTTCTACAAATAAGTTCAATTTTCTGATTTCTTTTAAAGTTAAAACAGATTTATGTGTACATTGACAGCAGTGCCAAGTTGCTCTGTAATGGTGAAAATTCTGCAATTCTCTGTTTTTTTTTTTTTTTTTTTAATTTAAAAACAAATTGATATGAGCATAGACAGCAGAGTGCTAAATTACTCTACAATGCCAAGAATTCCACAATTCTCTGATTAAGTTATAACAGGTCGCTGTGTTCCTGGACCGAGAAAGTAGAAAGGGAAGCGTTTTATTATGGATGTTTACTGCATTTTTAATTTAGTTACTGTGTTGTTTTAAGAAATTTTCAGTGTTTCGTTATGGATATTTGTTTCCTGTAATTTTTTTATGTTTAACTATGGATATTTTTTGCATTTTTAATTTTGTCAATTTGTTGCTGTTTTAAACAATTTTCAGCATGCTGATATGTTTTTAAAAATAGCTACTGGTTTTCACATGTTAGGTTGCAAAAATGTAGTTGCTAACGATTAGTGACTTTGCAGAAATGCTGGGCAGATAACACAAAAGTACCAGAAATAAAAATGAAGCAGTACAGAAAGCATAAGCAAATTTCATTGAAATACATCAGCATTATTTCATTCTCTGACCTTCTGTCATCTCTCTGGCAGCTGGAAAATTCATTTTTTAAAAAAGTTGTTAGGTTTCTGTTTGTAAAAATTTTATGGAGGTGTTTTTTGACATTCTTCAAAGAAGTGAGCTCCTAGCTGTTCAGAGAATGTTGGAGTGACCAGAAGAAATGAAAATCTAAAGCACAGTCTAGTAAATATAAGAAAGTGACACTAAACATCCCAACTATGATCAATAAGCCTTTATCTTGACATTCATCAAAATAGTGGGGCTGAGCAAGAGTGTTGTCATGACAGAAGACTACTTCTCAGCAACTGGTCATTTCTGAGCACTTTGCTTAGATTTTTGCTTTTAAAACTGGGGAACAGTATTTTTCCAAATAATTGTCTAATAGCAACAATTCTCAGTTTGTAGTTCCTTTATACTTCCAATGATCTTTTTCTTGTAACATTATTGTATAGTAGTCACTTCTCATCTTCAATAACGAGTCGTTTAGAAAAATAAGCTTGTTTATTTCCCTTTTTTTTTTTTTTTTTTCAGCAATATCGCATGCCAAAACTCGAGCAAGAATATTCTGCATCGTCAAAAATATGGGATATCCCACACATTGCAGCAGCGTATATACCAAATCTTCTTCAAATGATCAGGTACTATATTTTATGGAATATTTAGAGTGTTCAATAATTCCTGAATTGTACAATGTGGATTTTCAGTGATAGCTACTTTTAACAGGTTCTTGCTTCCAGAATGGTCATCCAAAATGAATATCATCTTCTAAACTGAAATTTCCATGCTTCTCAAACTACAAGTACCATCAAACTGTGTCATCAAAAACAGCACTTTATCCATATGTAATACAAATTTTATACATAGTCTGACTGTATTTTGTTTTCTTTTTAAAAATAAAAGAGCATAATACGATGAAAATGAACTGGGTTTTTCATTCTTGGCACTACAATTGAAAATAATTACACAATACATGGAAGAATAAAGCAACAATGAGCAGAAAAGACCATATTTGAACATCGGCTTCAATCACCATCAGCAACAAAATAATTAGAAGAAAATACTCTTTGATTTGGAAAACCTCAGATCTTTCTAATTGACCCAATATTTTCTAATTACTGTTTCAACATGGGTTTTCAATTTCAGCAGAAGCAATCCTCTTGACACACAGGTGAATTAATATCTATTCATAAAAAACTTCTATAACAGAATAAAACAAAAACAACAAAACATACAGTGATAACAACTAAAAAATTTTAACAAAATTACCTCCACTGACTGGCATTTTTTAAAATTTTGTGTTGGCCCAACCTGCACTCTGCTAAACACAATAAGCAACAGAAAACTGATTTTAGCTGTCCATTGGGAATAAAATGCTGCAACTGAAAAATAAAACAAAATATCAGAAAAAATTTCAAAAATTAGGACACTTTTAAAGATGGCGTCACAATAAAAATTTTTGGAAGTTAAATTTCCCTTCTTCCCCATATCTTCATATAATCTGAAAATAAAATGATCTTTTAATACTGTCTTTCAACATATCAAGCCTTTTTTTTAAAAGAAAAAAAAAAAAAAAAAACAGAACATGTCACTACTTTTTTTAATTTCATTTTATTTTTGAACAAATTTAAAATGAATGTTTACTTCCAAAAAAATCATATATCCTACAAATGCAAAAAATTCACTAGCTATTATACCTGTCAATCATGGCCATATGCAATAATTACTCATAGCAAAAGTTTTTCAACCAGAATAAGGGCTTCAGCTTATCACTAGCACTTTCTTCATTTTTATTTGTAAATATACAGAAAAATTAGTTTGCAGCACGTAACTTAAAAATGAACTAAAAATTATTATACATAACTCTTTCACTCAAATCTTCATCTATATTATTACAGTAAATAATTTAAGTGTTTATAAGTTACATGACACCGCAAAATAAAAATGAAAATATCTATTCACAAGAATTGAACAATCTCCAAAAATGGAAATGTTACCAGCAAAATCCTAATCAGAATACTGAAATGCCAAAAACTTGTTATATACATGTGGCAACACACTAGTTGCTTGTTGAGCTGAACTGGTGTTATGTGATCCTGTAGTAATGTCACTTATTTATTGATCAAGTAACATTAATATGAATATAACATGACATAGTCGTGTGGAGTAGTATTACAACTAATTGCCCGGCAATGCCTTTGGTTGTTTTTCCTCTCAGGAGATGCAAGATGGAGCTTTGTCACCCACCGCAAGGCCTAAGTTTCGAAGGCAATGTGACCAAAAACTGGCGCAGATTCAAGCACTGTTCCAGATTTATATGAAAGCTTCAGGAAATGCTTCAAAAGATTCAGATGTGAAAGTTGCTTTATTTTTAAATGCCACTGGTGAGGAAGCAGTTGAAGTGTTTAACATGCTCAATCTTTCAAAAGGAGATCAGGGCAACTATGAAAAACTGCTTGAAAGTTTTGAAGCTTTCACGACGCCTAGAACAAATATTATGGTGGAGAGATTTTTTATTCAATAAGAGAAAACAAGAAGAGGAACTTTTGATTGTTACATGACTAAACTGAAAAAACTGGTAAAATCTTGCAAATTTGGTGAGCAGAGTGACTCTGTCATATGTGATCGCATTGTCCTTGGAGTATCAGATACTAGTTTACAGGAGAGGATGCTGCAAGAAAATAATTTGAATTTGGAGAAAGCAACTGATTTAGGGAAAGCTGCTGAAATGAGCAAAGCTCGTGCTCAAACGTTTTGACAGCGTTACTAGAGGGAAAGTGAAGCAACAACAGGCAAGAGGAGCCAATGCAGCCGTAGCAGTGAGGAAGCACAGAGGATGGCGTGATGACGCTTCAAATACCACGACATTTTTGTGTAAAAAATGCAACAGACATCACGTTAATGGACAATGCCAGGCATATGGAAAAAAATGCTTTAATTGTGGCAAACTTTTCGACTATGTGAAGACTGAAACATGTCCAAAATGTTTCTCAGCATGATAACGCACACGTATATAGTGAATCTGATGATGAATTCTTCGTGAATTCCATAAATGTCCAAAAATCTAAAAGTGTATGCTCAACATCGTTTACAAAAGGATGGACTAAAACTATAATTGTTGAAGGGCTAAGTGTGACCTTTAAGTTGAACACATGGTCTGAAGTGAATGTTTTGCCTGTGAAAACTTACAAAACACTGAGTGCTAAGAACTCTAATCTTATTGTAAACAAGTGTAATGTTATATTAGAAGCATTTGGGAGGGCAGGGTTAAACCTGATGGGTCGTTAATGTTACAATGTTCCTCAGATGGTGAGGATTATCCTTTAGATTTTTTAATTATTTCTAGCAAGCACATACGTCCATTATTAGGACTTGATGCATGTGTTAAACTTAATTTGATTCAGTTTATAAATAAGGTTGGACTACCAAATAAAGGTAAGTTTTATCAGTATACAATTGTTTTACCTCCATCTAAAGATCAATTTATTATTAATAATTCAGAAGTGTTTGAAGGTGCGGGAAAATCATAGCAGATGATCAGATAGCTTCTGTAGTGAGACCACCACGTAGAGTACCATTTAGTTTAAAACCTAAACTTGAATTAAAATTAAACGACTTAGAGAGACAGGGCATTATTGCAAAAGTTGATCAACCTTTGAACTGGGTTAGCAATCTAGTAATAATTGAAAAAGCTAATGGATCCTTAAGATTATGCCTTGATCCTCAAGATCTTAACAAAGCTATAAAAAGAGAATATGTGTTGCTTCCAACCACTGAGGAGATTTTGCGAAAGCTATGTATTAAATCAGTTTACTCTGTTTTGAATTTAAAGGATCGGTTTTTTTTTCAAATAGCATTACATTGGGGATAGTAGTGATCATTGTACTAGCACACCATTTGGATGCTATAAATTCTTAAGGCTTAATTGGGTATTTCCTCTTCACCTGAAATTTTTCAGAAATGCAATCTTGAAAATTTTGGTAATATACCAGGAGTATTGATCTATTTTGATGACATCCTCATTGCTGCTAACACTGTACAAGAATATGATAAAATTTTAACAGAGGTCATCAGTAGAGCTAAAAAACTCAATATTAAATTCAACAAGCAAAAACTTCAATATAGGGTTAGTGAGGTTAAATATTTAGGTCATTTATTTAATGTATCAGGCATGCGACCTGATCCTGATCGAATTAAAGCCATTACTGAGTTACAGGAACCTCAGAATAAGCATGAATTACAACATGTTTTGGGAATGTGTAATTATTTGAGGAAATTTGTACCAAATTTTTCAGAGAAAACAGCCATATAAAAAGAACTTTTGAAAAGCAAAGTAGAGTGGCAGTGGTTACAGCTACATTCTAAAGCAAAAAATTAATTTCCAATGCTCCTGTATTAGGAATATTTGATAGCAGTAAACCTATCACTATACAGGCAGATAGTTTTAAAGATGGGTTAGGTTGCTGCTTATTGCAGAATGGGCAGCCAATTGCTTTTTCGTCTAGAAGTTTGAATAATGCAGAAAAAACTATGCTCAGATTGAAAAAGAATTTCTTAGTATTTTATTTGCTGTTAATAAATTTCACTATTACATTTATGGTAGAGAGGTAGAAGTGCTTACTGATCATAAACATTAGTTTCAATTATGAACAAAATATTGCTAATGTTTGTCAAATAGATTGTAAAGGATAAAAATTAAGCTCTTAAAATATAACTTAAATATTTGCCTGGGAAATATATGTATATTGTAGATTTACAGTCCTGTTCCTTTATTATAACACACGCAAGTGAAAACATGGATATGACAGAGATTGTTCATACACTAACAAAACAACTTCAAATGTCTGAGAGTAAGAAAAGGGAATTTCAGAAAGCTACATTAGAAGATGAAGGGTAAATGTTAGTGAAAGAATATTGGCAAAAGGGGTGGCCTTTGAGTGTTGATAAAGTTTCTAAAGAAGCAAGATCTTACTTTAAATTTAAAAATAAGTCGAGTGTTGAACAAGATTTAGTCTTTTTTAACAATCGAATTATAGTACCTGTTGCATTAAGGAAGTGCATGTTAACATTATTGCATGAGGCTCACTGTGGGTTAAAAAATCAAAAGCTAGGGCTCGACAAGTACTACAGTCAAAAGTCTTTAATCCGGACTCTTCGGGACTTCGGCGATTCCGGATTATCGGTTTTCCCGGATTATAGATCATCAATTTAAATCTGGTAAGATGGCATGCAGAAATTGTAAAATTAAAACTATGAAACCGTAATTTATGAAATAAAGAGCAATTATGATCTAAAGGGTATCAAAATTTACAAAACAAAAGTCTAATATTTATTTGTTTACTTTATTAAACATTTCTTTCAACGCGCGCATGCGTCATTACGCATAGTCGAAATTAGAAAATTGCAACCAGAAAACTATTTGATGTGTATTCCTGATATTTATAATGACAAGGAATTTGATTTAAATCATATCAAAGACTTATGCATGCGCATAAAGCAATTGTGCATGCGTTTTTAATGTGCACATCCGCTTCACATACGCATAAAGCGTTAACCCGTGCGCACTTCCGATTGTGAAGAAAGTGACAGAGAGGTTATTGAAAACACAAAAATTTCGATTGACAAGTTAGTTGGTATTCTCAACACAGCAATTACAGGATTTGAACAGTGGAACTTTGAAACTGATCAAGAAATTATGTCTGTTTATAGAATTAACGAGATGGTAAAAGTATAGTTTAGGGTACCCCTTGGTGAAACTCGGCGATTTTTGCCGGTACATGAATACTGATTTTGTGCAATTCTTTGACTCGTTATTTTGGCTTGTGAAGCGGCAATTTTTGAGCCAAAAAATCGCTGCTACACAAAGCCAAAATACAAGACAAACAATTGCACACTCGGATCCATGTGCACATCGACTTCTTTTCACTTAAACAAAATCCCAAATCACAAAATGACATATGCACGCCTTTACAGCCATGTACAACACAGACCTATTTCACTTTAAAAAATCCCCGAATTGCACAAAAAGGCATTGCGCACTCTTTTACTTTATCCATACACATTCAACCTATTTTCACTTTAAACAAAATCCCAGAATTTGCACAAACTTCCATTGCGCACTCCTTTACTTTGTCCATGTACACATCGATATATTTTCACTTGAAAAGTCAAAGGAGCACCAAATTTACATTATAGGTAAACAAAAAATACAAAATCTCAATAAAATACATTTAAACCAACATAAATAACATAAAAAAGGAAAAACATATACATTTAAGCTTACCCAAACCAAATGCAGTCAGAAGTCGTAATCAGACACCCATAATCCGAAATGATCTATAATACGGCCTCAAATAAATTTCTGCAATGCAATAGCGTTTTACGCGTGCGCGTAAGACCTTTACGACTCGCATATGCGTATGCGCAAGTGCGAATACGTTTTTGAGTGCGTGTTTAATGTATAACAGAGGTATAAGCTAAAATTATCTATTTCAGTTTAAAATTTTTTGCTTGATTTGCTTTTTCTTATCTTCGAACTGGATCTGGCTTATTAACTTTTTTCAGACTGTAAGAGCAATTTTATAAAAGTAAACTTGAACTTTTGATTGTGTCAAATAGAATTTCCGATGCTGGAGCTCCCAAAGGATCTACCAAAACGAAAGTTGTTTCGATGTCCATCAAACAAAAAGTGGAATTTCTGCAAAAATGGATAAGAGACATGAAGAAAGTGACAGAGAGGTTAGTGAAAACGAAAAAATTTCGATTGACAAGTTAGTCGGTATTCTCGGCACAGCAATTACGGGACTTGAACAGCGGAAACTTTGTAACTGAACAAGAAATTATGTCTGTTTATAGAATTAAAGAGAAAGTATTATCACATAAAACGAAGAAACTTAAACAACTTACCTTGAAAGAAATGTTTAATAAAATAAACAAATAAATATTAAGCTTTTTTTTTTTTTTTTTTTTGTTTTGTAAATTCTGATACCCTTTGGATTATAATTGTTCTTTATTTCATAAATTACGGTTTCATATTTTTAATTTTAGAATGTCTGCATGCCACCTTACGAGGTTTAAACTGATGATCTACATAATCCGGAATCGCCGAAGTCCCGACGAGTCCGGATTTAACGTACTACCAAAAGCTGAATGTTCACTTACCATGATTTTCGAGTTCGCTTCGTACACCCAGAGCCATGTAAAAATCAAAATACCAGTCATACTCAAATGACTTTTTCAAACCAGGTACTTTTTCTGATCAAATGCTTAACATAGTGACCATCTAAACCTTTTCTTACCTACAACCCATTCAAATCCATCTAAACTGTTTTTACGTTCAACTAGACTGCTTATCCTTCCTTATATACAGGACACCTGTAATGGTCTACTAAGTAAACCTTCATTGACACACCAGTCAATTAAAGCTCTTTTCCCCTTTCCCTCCTAAATTCGAACAGAAACTCAAATTACAATTAATCTTACTACATTCGGCCATTTTACCGTCTAAAGAATCAAACAACACACACCACAAAAACGCTTACAAAACATCCCATGATTCAAAATTTCCCAGAATCATGCCACCCGATTACGTCACAATAGGGTTTTCATAACATTCAACTACTCAGGCTACCATAAATGAAACAACAACTTGGCGATAAATGAAACAACTTCGCCATAATACAAGGGTCTACTCTAAATTATAATTAATTAATTATATTAAAGTCTACTCTACCCAAAGAGAAAGTATTAGCACATAAAAAGAAGCAACTTAAACAACTTACATTGAAAGATATGTTTAATAAAGTAAACAAATAAATATTAAGCTTTTTTTTGTAAATTTTGATACCCTTTAGATCATAATTGCTCTTTATTTCATAAATTACAGTTTCATGTTTGTAATTGTATAATTTCTGCATATCATCTTACCAGATTCAAATTGATGATCTATAATCCGGAATTGCTGAAGTCCTGATGAGTCCAGATCAGACTGTGTACTGTATAACAAAACTTATTCAAAATAAACAGAACATCTATAAAGTCTAGTAATAACATCTAATATTATAAATCTATAATGGCAACAATAGTGAATTTTTGACACTTGAAAACAAAACATTAGCAGGTAAGTCATAACCATTTTTATTAATACAGAATTAAGGAAATAATTTAAAATAACATTAAAACATAACCCAAGTTCTTCACACAAATGTATTTATTAAAAAAAAAATTTTCACAAAACAGCTCCTTTAAAAATAACTACATTACATATCTAAATTTATTTTACCTAAAGGTTCTTGTATAAGAGTTTCATAATCCACTTAAGTACAAAGTCTTTAATCCGGACTCGTTGGGACTTCAGCAATTCCGGATTAGGGGTTTCTCCAGATTATAGATCATCAATTTAATTCTGGTAAGACGGCATGCAGAAATTATAAAATTAAAAATATGAAACCGTAATTTATGAAATAAAGAACAATTATGATCTAAAGGGTATCAAAATTTACACACACACACACACACACACACACAAAAAAAAAAAAAAAAGCTTAATATTGATTTGTTTACTTTATTAAACATTTCTTTCAATGTAAGTTGTTTAAGTTGCTTCATTTTATGTGCTAATACTTTCTCTTTAATTCTATAAACAGACATAATTTCTTGTTCAGTTACAAAATTCCGCTGTTCAAGTCCCGTAATTGCTGTGCCGAGAATACCGACTAACTTGTCAATCGAAATTTTTTCGTTTTCACTAACCTCTCTTTGTCACTTTCTTCATGCCTTTATACATTTTTGCAGCAATTCCACTTTTTGTTTGAGGGACATCGAAACTTGCTTTCGCTTTGTAGATCTTTGGCAGCTTCAGAATCGGAAACTCTTTTTGACATAATCGAAAGTTCAAACTTACTTTTTATAAAATTGCTCTAACAGTCTACAATTGATATCTCTTAAGTACAATTTAAAAAAATTTTTTTGAATACATTTTTAAGTTTTAATAATACAAACTTTTTCATAAAACTTAAAGAAGTCTCAACGAATAAAATGCTTGTCTATTCCAGTTTATAAATATCCTACGAGACTAAAATAAAATATTTCATTAATTTTAATAAATATTATAATATGCATGTATTGTTTTCAATGACTGACTATGAAATACGATAAAGAATTAACCAAACAGCCTCGAAAATAAAGTAACATTCATGCAATTCCTACCCCTGCATAATATAGATATTTACAGAATGTACTCATTTAGTATCAATTACAAAACGTGAATAATAAATGGAAATCCATGCACAATCTGAATACAGATTTAAATTCATCATAGTTGTGCTTATTATTATATTTTATATATTAAATTATGTTTTGGAATATATTACCATTACAGTATTAAATACAAGGTACACTGGAATAAAAACTGAATTACTGCAGTGTTTAAGAAAAGATAAAATTTAGTAGAAACTTGTGGTTTTTCTCAAAAAACTCCTCTCTTGGTTAATTAAGGAAAATATAACACAGATTACTGTTTAAGAAAAAGGGAGTTAAAAAAAGGGTTATTTAATAAGAGGAATGTTTAATTCGGATGAATTTTTTTTCTCTTTCAGTGTGTCAAAAACATTGAATTTTCAGTGCAATGAAAGTTCAACAATTTAATGTAGCAGAGATCCCCCTTCCAAACAAAATTAAATGAAAAATAATTAAAAACCGAATGGTTAGTCTTTCAGAGAACAACGATTACTATTTAAGTCATCGCGCATACAATTATGTACATTCAATAAATTACTTTCATAATTTGTAACGCTAAAGGATATACGAGATATTCAAAAAATTATGCCAAAATGTTTTTTCAACATATTATTCTGCAAGTTTCATATAACTCCCTAGCAGATCTTGAAAGAAATAACGACAGGGAGGAGTAAAAGAAATTTTAAGATACAGCCAAATACAATTGACAATTATGAATATGAATAACTCACTGTTTTACTAACAATAATGATTTGAAATTATACAGAAATGAGCTACACAATGTCTTTACTCAAATAAGTGCTTTTTTTATTAGTGTGGCTTAATGCAATTAACTCTGAAATGCAAGAAATTTTGTCTACTGCTTGACAGTGCAAGAAATTGAGAAATTCAAATACTCACGTTTCCAGCGCATAAAGCGGAATAAGTGGAGAAGTTTACATTCCAACCCCCTAACATACTTCACTTCACATCAATTCCTATCAGCTGATGATGCGATATATTTTCCGTCTCTACCATACATTATAATATGTTTGTATTTTCCTTACATTCATGTTATTTAGAAGCCAAATTTTTAAAACTTCATTTTCTAAATAACACATGCATGGGTGGTTTGTATATTGTAGGGTAGGGAAGTAACGCGAAAAATTAAGCCATTCATCATTTTCGTAAAGTTTACAACAGCTTATAGAGTTATACATGAACTACAAATAAGAATCAATATTTTCATAGTAAAATAGTACTGTATTTTCACTTTATTCAACTTCTATAATCATGTTAGCCACTTCAATACATTTTTGCTTTCCCTGTTCTCAGACTGTAAAATAATTCAGATTTGAATTTCATGGTGAAATTTGACGCAGGTTATGTGTACTTGCATTTGTGGGCTCTGAAGGATCGTAGGTTCATGGTGATAGAGGTTTTAATCTATTATGCCTCTTAATCTCTTCAAGATTGACTATGGAGTGGGATAAAATGGCCAACAAGCGCGAGTTTCTTAATATCGTATGTATACTGATTTGCTTTCAAAAGCATGTACAGTCAATGAAAAGGTCGGATCCAGAACTGGTGTAACTAGTTGCGGTCTCACAATTTAGGGGTTTCAAAATTGTTATAATTTACAGTATTCATTAGCCAGCAGGGTTAATCTTTCTTAAGCGCGCTCAACGCCAAACTTGGCGACAGTTTTTAATTTGGCGCGATTTTGATTTGATTGTAGTTTCCGGCTGTATGTTTTCCTGTGGCAAACCTAGAGTTTTACTTCGGTGCTTGTAATGAGTGCAAGTTTAATGCAGCCAGAAGATTCTACTTTTTAATTTAACTTTGAAATACTGTGTTTGTTTTTAAAAGTTTTACTGTTTAATATTTGCAGGAGGTTAAGCTGTTGTCGGTGAGAGAATGTTGTATTTCAGATGTCGTGAAGTTTATAATTTATTAATGTTTTCATTTAATTTTTTTAGTTAATGTTTTCCGGATTAGTTAATTATTTTGGTACTTTTCCGTTTCGCCGGCGCAAATCTCGCCAAACAGACTTTATTGGCGACAACATACAGTCTACACATAAAAAATATTTAAAAAATTTTAGTTCTAAGAATTCTTTTTTTGAAGGCATAAACATTTTAATATCGCTTAAAACTTTATAAAAAGACAATAAATAAAGACAATAAATTTGTAAAAAGACATTAATTTAAGAATTTACTATGCTTTCAATTTAAGAATTATGCTTTCATGGTTCAACATCCTAATTCGCCGGTTCATATCACGTGATCCCAAGCGATCTCATCTCCCCTAAACTACTCTACAAAAATCTAATGCTCTTAGTAATTATCTACATTAATTTCAAGTTAAATCTTAATTTGGAACACAAGTTTAAATGCAAAAAATATTTCAATGCTTACGAATAGCTTGCTCAGAAATTATGTCATTCCGAGGTGGGACAGCGTTCGAGATAGACGTCTTATCGCTTCGCTCTCCGTTTCCTTGCGTTGCTACCACCCCCGCTACTGTACCGAGTTCATCGACCTCACCTCACGGGCTCTAGGTTGTTTCTTCTTCGGCTTTCGCCTCGCAAAAGCGTCGCCTTAACTCCACAGCTGCACCCTTCGCTGGATAAAACAGGTCGTATTTTATTCTTTCTTCTGATTTTCTTTATTTACCGTGCTGATAAGGGTACCTTCGGGTACGGCCTCTAGTTAGGCCTTTTTCCAACTTATTTACTTCACATGATTAATCAATATGACACAACAAACATAACTGTAACTAATAATAACATATACATGGAAAACTCACCTCCAAACTCAGAAAATCCTCCCATGAGACATCTCGATGAACCCAACGTTCTCCAAATATTAAGTCACAAAATTACTTTATCCAATGACGTCGAAACTACCAGATCCTTGGTGGAAGATATTCAAGATATCCGTAACGACACAATTGTGATTTTGTCCGCTAGTGATCAAAAAGAACTAAACTTTCTCCTTGTTAAAGCCATTAATCAACTGCGTATGCAGGAAAACGAGATAGCCAATGCAAAAATAAACGAATTACAAACCTCTAACGAAAAGCTCGCTAAGCAATTTGAAGAGATTAAAAACTTCTGCGACATACTTCAATCCACTAGTGGTTTCAAAGAACAAAGAAAAAGAAAATTGCGCCATAGACAAACGGATTCTGACGCCGATGAGGAGCCTTCCCTCAAAACCAGCAATCGATATAAACAATTAGAGAACCAAATAGACGACATGCATTTGGACAACGAAGATGAATCAGCCACTCAGCTCACTACCACCCTCAAAAGACCAACCAAACAAAAGTGACTGACACCGTTCCCGCAAATAGAAAACCAAACTCCAGCCCCAAAACAAGCAGAATTGATAAAGTGCCAATTATTGTCGTAGATGACGTACCAAAAGCGGATGAATTCTTAAAAAACTTAAACAAGCAAACCGGAAAAGAGATAACTGGCACCTTAAAAGGACGCCGCCTTGAAATACAGCCTGCAGACTCTGACTCACATCGATTCATTCGCAAAATAGTCGAAGAAACTAAGCTTAAAGCCCACACCTACTTACTGCCCGAAGATAAAGTTTTAAAAGTCATAAAAAGAGGCTTACCCATCACCACAGATCCCCAAACCATCACTCAAGAACTTCTTGACAAAGGATTTAAGGTTAACTTTATAAACACTATTAAGAAACAGAAAAGAAAACAAACCAATGCCGCTTTTCTTAGTACATATACCAAAATCAGAAGAAAATAAGGAAGTATTCAAAATCAAACGCATAGGTTATATGAACGTAACAATAGAATCATTACGCAAGAAACCTGGCCCTCCACAATGCTATAGATGCCAGGGATTTTTTCACAGTTCCCTGCTCTGCACCAGAGACTGGGTTTGCGTCCGTTGCGGAGGCAATCACAAACCTATAGAATGCACCCGTAGTCGCGACCAGCCAGCCATATGTTATCACTGCAAAGGTCCTCACCCAGCCAACTTTTCAAATTGCCCAGCCAGACCAAAAAACAAACAAGTTCAGTTCCAACCCAGTCCTCCACCAGCAACCAATCCCTGGACTAACAGAAAACAAGACTTTCCTCCGCTGACATCAAACAGTAACGAAAATATCGCTCAAACCTCCATTCAAAACGAAATTCTAACAGAAGAAACTACCAGCACCGCAGAATCCTCCCTGTCAGACCTCTTTGACTTCTCTACGCTAAAAACAATCTGGACAATAGTGATACAAGGACTCAAAAACATTAAAACCAAGAAATCACCTCTTGATAAAATAATCGCAGTAGTCGAAATCATTGAAAAAATAGGAAATCATCTTTAATGCTAATAAATTCAAGAACAGATGCAACATAAAAATCCTCTCTTGGAACGCTAACGGTCTTTACCATAAAAAAGATGAATTATCGAACCTCATTATTGAAATTGAACCTGACGTAATACTCATACAAGAGACTCACCTTAAACCAGCACTCAAAGTACTTTATGCTAATTATAACACCTACCGTACGGATCGTGAGACAGGAAGAGGCGGTGGCATCATCACATTTGTTAAAAGGAGCATAAAACACGCTCAAATTCCTAATTCCAGCACCACTTTCGAAAGTAACACAATAGAAATTGTAATAGAACATAAAAAATTCAAAATTTCGAATATATACATCCCACCAAATAATAATCCCAGCGCACAAGAATTGATTCACCTCCTTAATTCTAATACTTCTACCATTGTCGGAGGGGACTTCAACGCCAAACAGCCCTGTTGGAACCGAGGACCTGCTAACAAAAAAGGAAATGACATATTTAAGCTCATTCAATCAAATAATTATAACATTCATGCTCCAGACGAGCCCACCCATTACGGGTACAATAGCGCCACCACAATTGACTTCTTCATCTCAAATAACATTACTAACAGATGCAATATCTCTGTAATTTCAGCCCTGTCTTCCGACCACAACCCCATTGTATTTGAAATCCCCATTAATAAATACCTCCCCTCACTTGACAGAAGTATAGGAGTTACAAATTGGATCAAATACTCTGAAATTCTGAATAACTCCATACAAGGTAACCCATGCATCAACAACACAGAAGATTTAGAACACGAAGTCTCAAAATTTACCAACAGCATCAATTCTGCTTTAAAGGAAGCCACCAATACTTTTTATGTGAACAAGCCTTTCCTTCCCCTGCCTGCCGATATAAGAAATAGGATTAAAGAGAAAAACCGGATCCGTAAAAGATGGCAAACCACCAGGGATCCACAACTCAAACACGAACTAAACTCTATGCAAAAAGAAATCAACAGAAGAATCAAGAACTTCAAAAACCAAAAATGGACCAATTTCCTAAATAACCTAGCTATAGAGGACAATTCCCTATTTGACATTTCCCGCAAATTCAAGAAACCTTATAAACCTATTCCACCTATCCATGGACCTAGTGGAACTTCATATACAGAAGAAGATAAAGCTAAATCTTTTGCGGACTATATGGAAAGATACATTCACTCTTAATCCCACTCCGTACGACAATAACCATATTGAACGGGTCAACCAGGTGGTCAATAACTTCCTTAACACCCCTGCTCCGTACAACTTCACTTTCCTGACTACCCCAACCATCGTTGCCAACACCATCAGCGCCTTACAAACGAAGAAAGCCCCAGGGCACGATGGCATCTCGACCAAAGCACTGAAGCATCTTCCGATCAACGCTCTTACCTGCCTAACTAAAATAATCAACAACATTATCAAATTCGCTCATTTTCCTAACTCATGGAAGCAAGCTATAATAATTGTTTTTGCTAAACCGCAACAAAATCCAACTCTCCCACAGAACTATCGCCCTATCAGTTTACTTAGCCACCTGTCTAAAGTTACTGAGAAAATCCTACTTTTCCACATCCAAAAAATTCACCCTTCCATGAAT